TGATTTTTTTTTTCTTATTTTTTTTTTTTTTACTTTTAGTCTTTTATGTAAACATTTTAAGTTTTCATCTCATTTTTTGTTTCTCTTTTTGTCCTCGATTTTTTTTTCTGAGAAAGGTAAAATAGATAAATTAATTAAATTTATAACGAAATGGGTTTGGATGGATAAATGGGGTTTGGATAAATGGATAAATGAATATATGGAATAGTTTGTTGGGGTTCCATTTGCAAGGTATGGGACTTGGAGTCCAACATTGGTTGTATGGGCAACTAATGTGGGGTTTATAAGGTTTTGGGCACTCCCACCCTTGAACTAGCTTTTGGGATAATGTATCTCAAGGTCTCATCATAGTTCTTTCTTATTTCTTGAATTTGAAAGCCATATATATTTTTTTGGCTATGGTCTAAATTAATTTTTCCTGAATTTAAAATTATTTTTAAGAGTAAATACTTTTTTCGGTCCTCAGCAAATTTCACGATGCCATCATTAGTCACTAAGTAAAAAACAGGGCATTCATGGTCCTTGTTATTTTAAAATTAGGTCCTTCCGTTACTGGGCGTCCAACGTCGTTTGTAACGTTGCACACATGGAACATTAAGTTGTTGAGTCACAATCCACCTTGGAAAGAATACAACGTTGTTGTGTGTATTACAAGCAGACAACATCGTTTGGGGTTTGAACCCCAACCTTACTTATCAACAACCTTGCATTCATCTTGTGACACACTCTTTTGACTTTGCTTACTAGAGAAAAACCCCAACCTTACTCGTAAGCAACATTACTGGTGAACCTTGTGTCTTGGGGTGCTTTCTGCGTCGAGATCGCGTCTCCACTTGCTAGTACTTGGAATTGGGGTGTTTTCTGGTGGTAGTACGAGAATACGCTTAGCATTTTAATTCCTTCAAAGAAGTTATGTGTTCTGAGACTTTGTTTATTATCCCAATAAAATTCATTGTATGTGGTCCCCCCTCACAATGATTGTGTAATGTATGTTGAATTTAATGTTAGAGGTGGCAGCAAAGGAGGCCCTGCACCTAAAGGCTACTCTCAGCCAGCTGAATTTAATGTTAGAGGTAGCAGCCCAGCTCCGTCAATACCACCATAAACAACTGAAGTTGTCTCCAATGAGACTATCAATGCAGCTAACAGTGGCACACGGAATAGATTTATGACCTTCATGTCCACACCTGATTTTAAGCCACCAAGGCCAGCTGCACAAAAATAAGTAGTTGGAGTTTATGCAAAGTGGTTTTTATATATTTTTGTATTGCCAACTGATTATATGTAAATGTAATTAGCCTTTTTTTTTTGGAGAACTTTAGTGTTGGCAATCTTAGTCAGTGTAACTAGGACTTGATGTATTACAGGCCATTTTTTGTTATTACAAGCCCTTTTTTTTTTTTTTTTTTTTTTTTGATAACATACAAGCCCTTTTTTTAGTAACTCAGAAATGAGGACAAGTGATTCAATCATAATTTTTAAATGGGAACTGTTGGTTTGGCTCGCACATTGAGTTGAAATATATGTTGCTATTGGTTATTGTACTGATTTCGATCTGATATGTATTACTTATTTCAATCTGAGTTGAAAAATTTTGTTAACGTGTTACTGCCAGAAAGACCATAAGCAATTTGTTAACATTGAGTTTCTGTAATCATGCTTCTGCTGCTGTTGGTTATCTACAGCCATTGTGCTGATTTTTATATGTTATACTTCAATACTGTTGTTGGTTATACTGTCCAGCTCTTGTGTTTGAGTTTGTTAACATGTTACTGCCAGAAAGACCATATGTTAGACTGATGCAATGAGTTTGAGTTTGTTATCAAATGAAAAATGTTGTTAAGATGCAATTGGGTTGCATTGGTGAATGTTGTTGAGGTTGCATTGGACTTGGAAAAATCAAATTATGTAGATCATAACTGTCTAACCAGTGTTATCAAAAGTAAAGGAGATATAGGACCAGAACAACAAACTTTTCTGATTATGTCAAACATTGAGTTCCTATCTTCCATCCCATTTCCTTTTCCTTTTCAGTCCCCTTAAACTAGCTAGAAGGGAGGTTGTCTTATCCATGTCATTTCAAATAGCACTATAGCTACTTATACAAGAAATGTGGTAACTAAGCCACCATAATGACAATAAAATATAGACTCAGAAAATGTCCAAGTTTTCTATCTAGAAAGTGCACCATCTGAACTTACTGAATTTTCAAAAACAAATATTTTCTTTATTATTAAAAAATACAAATCAAACATATCTTAATACTTCAACCTGTTAGAGTAGTTAGATCTTATGTTAATATGCACTTGTAAATTTTAGTGTGTTGAACTTCTGTTACCAATTATGTAAATCTTATTACTTCAACCTGTTATAACTGATTAAGTTGTATTGTGGTTCTGTTACCACGCAAATCCTCATGCAAGCAAAGAAATAAACAAAAAAAAAATAAAGATAGAAACCAACAAAATTACCAATGTAAATCAAGTTTTTTTACTCATTCATTCACAACAGTATTCATTACATTTCATTTCAGCAAAAATACACTGGGTACACTTTCTTTCATTGTTAGCTTACTTCCATAAAAAATACATATCTTGACCACAACAGTAATAGTAGCAGCTAACACTCTAGCACACCAATCGACATGCCTAATTTCTTTCTCCACCTTGTCAGACTCTGCAATTATCTTGAGTTATAGCTCGTTAATCTTTCTTTGCGACTCATTAATCTTCATTTCTTGCTCATTCAACTTAACTTCCAATTCATCATTCAGCTTCATGGCCACGTACTTCAACTTGAATTCCATTTTAGCTACATTTAACTCCAGCTTATTTATTCTACCTTCTTCCAACTTCCTCACATCATTAGTAGCATCATCCACCCATCTAAAAAAATCACAATATGATTTCTTCTCCTGCCAGCAAATGAAACCAAGGTCAGAATAATTTTCAACTTAAATCAAAACAAATTAAAGATTAATACCTTGAGATTGGAGTACCCAAAGAATGATCTGTTTGGGTTTCTCTGAGTTTTGAAGGTATACACAACACTTAACCTCCCGCATTTACACCTTGGACCAGTAGTCCTTCTAAGGATTCTACCACCAATTGAAGTGCTTCTACTTGAGCCCCCGTGCTAGAAGAAACACTCATCTTATTTTACTACACGTACTATATTGCGCCACAAATCCAAAAACTTGCTAATTAGTAACGCTGGTGTATTTTGCAGAAATGAACATGAAATGGTTTTGGAAAATTTTAAAGGAGAAATTGTTAGGGTTCTGTATTTTCCTTTCTTGCAATGTGATAACTATGAGCAACCTCCAGGGAGATGTAAGTGATACACACAAGCAAGTGATACACACAACGGCATCGTATTTTGTCTAAGGTGGATTGTGACTCAGTAACTTAACGTTCCATGTGTGCGAGGTTATAAACGACGTTGGAGACCCACTAACAGAAGAACAAACGTCGGCGGCCTAATTTTAAAATATCAAGGACCACAAATGCCAAATACATATCTTTTATATTATACAAACATATATATACAAACATGCTGACTATAATCATTATTATACATAGTTGAAATCTAACAAAGATTTTTCTTTTTGGTAAAAAATCTAACAAAGATTTAACTAAATAATCATTACCTAGATAATAAAATCTAATATCATTATCTCTTCGGTTACACGTGGCCCTGTTATGTTTAAATGATTTTTTTATATATAAACATATGGTGCTACTGGCACCAATCCCTTTTTATTTATTTATTACATAATGACGCTAAATGCGCCAGACCATATTTTATAATGGCGCTTGTAGTGCCCCTTAAATACATATTGGTGCTTCAGGCACCAATTAAAATTTTATTTTATTTTTATTTATTTATTTATTATTTTGTTAAATTTGAATATTGCATGATGCAGCTAATCAAATATAAAGTAACAAAACAAGGGATATGATGTTGAGAAATAGCATACCAGTTGGGTTTTGCACTTGAGCGATGAGTTCCACATTGATTGGTAATGAGCTAAGTAAAATATATATAAGTGAGAGGACCCAAGGACCAATGTATATAAGTGAGAGGATCCATGAACCTAAAGTCTTAGATTATAACACGGTGTCTGAACCCGCATGACAGTTTCATCCATTGTAACCTATCGCTCGTGGACTTTTGACGAAAGTAACATTTTTTAGTTTTTGAATAAATAAAATTGTATTTTAACCTTATTAATAAGAAATAAACTCAAATTATTTAATAAAACCAGCATCAGATTTCATCTAATAAAGTAAAAATATTAAAAATATGTTTATTTACATTGTTCTAATGTTCTCTATTTCAAAGTGTAATAGCAATTGCTAAAAGAATTTTATTTTTGAGTCTTTGACTTCTTTTTTACAAAAAGATAAAATAAAATATATTTAAATCCAAAAAAATAAGACAGAAAATTAAGACAAACAAGAAATAAATAAAAAATTAATTTTGTAAGTTTTCAACATATTAAGTTTTTTTATTTCTTTTTTTGTCTTCGGTGTATTTTAATTTTTTTGATTTAAACTATTTTCATTTTTTTATTTTTAGTTTAGTTTTAAGTTTATAATATATTTGATTTTATTTTTTTTATTTTTTTCTCAATTTTTTTTCTTTTTTTATTCCAACATATTTGGTTTTTTCTTCTTCTTATTTTTGTTTTTTTTTTACTTTTAGTCTTTTATGTAAACATTTTAAGTTTTCATCTCAATTTTTTTTATCTTTTTGTCCTCAATTTTTTTTTTCTGAGAAAGATAAAATAGGTAAATTAATTAAATTTGTAACGAAATGGGTTTGGATGGACAAAAATAAGTGATTTTTTTTTTTAAAAAAAAAGGGATAAGTGATTCAAATTAAAACCGTAAGGATTATTTGAAATTTTTCTATAAAAATAAAAATAAGATTTATTATTATTATTATTATTATTATTACAACAGCTCTTTTTATTGAACTGAACATCTTTGGTGTTGAAGCTGCAACTGAGTTATTGTTTTAGGGAATCAACAAGTGTTAGAAGAATAATCTCAATCTCAATTTCAATCTCAAACTTGAATGGGTTACCTTGAAGAAGCACGCGATAATCACGTCAAGAAGAAAGTGGAAGAAGGTACTACTTACTCACTTCAACTATAAACCCTAAACCCACCCTTTGGTTACTCACAAAGAATTAAGAAAGTTTTGATTTTTAGAGTAGAAATGACAACCCTTTTGCACTGAGCATGGGTTTAGTTCAAATGGGTGTTTCTTATATGAATCCAAAATGGTGTTAAAATTAAGATCAAGCAATTTTTTATTTTATTTTTATTTTATTTTATTTTTTTATTGTGAGATTAATGTGGTGGTGTTTCATCAATTTTGCAGCTTTACGCAGCAAAATGAAGCAGAAGGCACTAAAAGAGTGTGATCAATACACAGCAAAATATGCTCAATGTGCTTCGGGGAGAACACTGTCAGTTGTTTGGCATTGTCGCGAACAAGCTAAAGAATTGAATGATTGTCTTCATCAATTGTAAGCTAAAGCTATGTTATGAGATTAATCATTGATTCCTTTGATTCCATTATTGGGATTGTTTTAAGGAAAACAAGAAAATTGAGATTTGATTTCTACACAAGTTAAATGCATCTGTTTGTACTAATATATGTATCATCATTTCCCACTGGTGATAACCATTGGCTGTTCATCACATTCTCCTTGTATTGCCTGTGCATCTTAAGGTGTTGCTCAGAATTTTTTATATAATAGTTGTGAATTTAAATTTGTAGAGTGTTTCAGTTGGGTTTACTAGTCTTTTGTCATGAATCAACTCTACCAAAAATTTAAGTTGTTAGAAGAAAGCATATAAATGGTTTATATTACATATCTAACATACTCCCTCATCCATGAACCCTTTAGGCTTGAAGCATGGATAATGCACAAGTCCACCTACCTTATGCTGAAATTCAACTTTTTTATTTGAAGAATGGAGGCAATAATGATTGAATTCTAGACCACTTGGTCTTAGAGACCCCGATACCATGTCATAAACCAACTCTCCTAAAAGCTTAAAATGTTAGGTGAAAGTACTTTAATGGTTTTATATTGCATTTCCAACAATGTTAAGGGAGAATCAACAGAGTAAGTCTTGAACTGTTGAAGAAAAAGGCAGAGTTTTGATTGTCATTTAAAATTATAGTAGACCCTCAATTTGGTCCTCTGAAGATTAAGGTGTCACCACATTAGTCCTACAAAAAATTTTGTCACCAAATTAGTTTCTTATATATTAAAATGTTACCATATAATATTAGTCCTCAAAAGATTTTTTCAGTCTTGTAAACATTAGAAAACTTTTTTTCTGGAATAAGTTCTGTTCATTGGTTTGTTCGTACTGTACTTGCTATAAAAATTCTGCAGCATTGGAGATCCAGAAAAGGAGAAGCTTCTAGCTAACTATATATATTAAAAAAATTGTTTCTACTGTAGTCGTAAATGCCCCCACATTACCAATATAATTTTTTTTTGGTAGTATTGCAGTGCATTGTAAACTTTATCAGTTCCACCTGTCAATGTGACTGAGATAAGGTGTTTTCTAGATTTGCCTGTTTGATATATTCGCAAATATGTATAGCCCAACTATTAACAGAAGTCATTTAGATTTCATTTACTGGCATGCAGATATGAGTGTCTATGGTTTAAGATTATGTGCCGGGGTGGATTGCCAACTGAAAATTCCAATCTTATAGTCATATTTTAGTCTGTGCGAAGATCTTTACATGGCAATCTTAGCCTGATTTCATGACAATCTAAGCTTGATTTAGTTTACATAACTTATTTTGTGCAAGCCAATGTGCTAGGTTGCCTAAATATTATGTACTCTCTTTCTCTTTTGCTTGTTTCATCTTTAGTAATTTTGAAATCATGGAAACACAAAAGTTGGAGGGCAAACTTTGGGGCAGCGGGAAAGTTGTTCCTTGTGATCAGAAGATCACAAGTTCGGGTATGAAAAACAGCCTCTTTGCAAAAATATAAGAGTAAGCTGCATACAATCGACCCTCACCCCTACTCTCACAAGTCAGAGAGCCCTGTGCACCATAGGTTTGCAAACCCAAAAGTTGACATAAAGCATTTATAGCATATTAGCTTGATGGCAAAGCTGGTTGTAGGCCCTCTTGTTTTGGGAGGAAGAAGGGGGGTTGGGGGGACTTCATATTCTTTTTGTTTTACTTTCTCTCAGTTTATTTTTGACCGAAATGTCATGGGTTCGAATTCGAAAAACAGTCTCTTTGCAAGTATGCAAGGGTAAAGCTGCGTACAAGGATTTCCCTCATCCCTACCCTCGCTAGTCGGGGTTAAATGGATAGTGGTTTCTGTCAGTTCATTTTCATGGTTCAGATTGCATTTGTTCCAAGACCTAAGTCAATCTTTTAAATTTCCATTATAAATCTCTGACCAGGCTGGTGAAATATCAGTCAATATTATCATTAATTGTTGCTTATCATACTTGTTTCTATTTTGAATTTGATTTTCCATTGTCTCTCCCTGCGACTGTCATTAGCTTAATTACCTAGACAACATTAGAGATGCAGTTTAATGTATTTGTGTAGCTTTGTATGTGGAATTGATATGTTCCTTCCTTTCTTTCTTTCCTTTTTATTTTTTAATTCTTTTACAGCACCAATGATTCTGTTTTGGAGAAAATGAAGAAAGAATACATGCTGAAACACAGTGGAGAGGGCTCTGCTAGAATCTAGACTATTGGATTTCAACGACATGGTGTATGCCAGAAACAGATTATCAATATACTCTGATGCATCTTACATTCAAAAATTTTAGATATTTACGAATTTTGTATGGAATAGTAGAAACATAAATGAAATGAACTTCATTTGTATGATGTTTGTTACGCTATCTTAAATAGTGCCCAATTAGTACCATTTTGACTAATAAGGGTAGAGTGTGTGAAAAGATCAAATATGATATGATGTTAGTGAAGTTCGTGAGCATGTTATGAAATTGATTCACTGCTACAATAAGTTGGAAGTTCATAAAAATTGATTTGGAAGGTAGCTACTTGGTCTACCATGTTTTGGAGTCCCTGCCATGATTCCAGCTCAATTTCATGTTCTTAAGTATTTCCTACAATGTAAAGTATAAATGACTCAAGTAAAGGATATTCAATGAAGGAAGCGCAGTTCGGTTCTCCTATGGCTCAAGTAGCAAAAATGACAAAAATGAAAATTAAATTAAATTAAAATGGCAATTAATGGTTTTGGAAAAAAGGATGTGAAGACTGAACAAACACATGGAAACCAAGAAGAAATTAAGGGAAGGTGACTTTTTGTAAGAATTTTAATTTCAAGCAAGCTGGTTGTTTGAAGCATAAAAAAAAGGTTCAATTTTTTTTCTTAAGTTAACACGAGTCATTTTCATTCATATAAAAATAATTTATTACGTCTATGTTTTTTTTTTTTTTTTTGATAAGCTATTACGTATATGTTTTAATTAAACAGAACACGTAATTAAATATTAAAAATTAGTAAATTTTAATTAATCGGTTTAAGCTAAATTTTAGCTACTACTAATTCTCTTAATAAACAATTAGTAAATACAAGACTTAAGTGCCTGTTTGAAAGATTTTTTTTAACTTTTTTTTTTCTCTTTATAAGCACAAATTAAATTAAATAGATCTTTATAAAAGCTCTATAATAAAAAAAGTTTTTTTTTATAATTAAAAAAATTTTAAAAATTAAAATTTTCTAAGATGAGTTTTTTTTTTAAGTTGTATCAATTTTGTTTAAGTTAAAAATATTATGTAATCATCAAATGATTTTGTAAAGCTTTTTTTTAAGAAGAGTTGCTAATGTTAAATAAAATAAAAATGGGTCGAACCCATGTAATATTCGGGCCTAGAGCATGCAAAAGCCCACGTAGTGCACGAGCGTGAAACAACGTTTGAAACATTGTACGAGGTGACGTATGTTATTCGTTGTTATTGAGGAATGCTCTAGAATCCAATGTTTTTCCTTTTTATCAGAAAGATAACAAGATTGTTGTCTTCCCACTATTTGATAAAATTTGCATACCCCAGAGGGAGCTTCTCACAGGTGCAAAGCAATCTCATCTTTCATTCTCTATTTCTCTTCTATTTGTTCCCTAAAGTTTTTTTATTTTTAATTCTATTGGTAAAGGTACTTTTTGTTCTGGCTATTGATTTTGGGACATGACCTTATAGGGTTATGATTATCCCTTGCGGCTGTGCAGTGTAACATTTTTCTCTGCCCCAAATATATTTTTTCTCTTGTTTATTCAAATGCAGATAAAATTCTGGAATTTTATATTTTTTTGAACTTAAAAGGTTGTTTCTTTGAGTTTGATGATGTTCTGAATTGAGACCCTTTTCTTGGCTTATGTCTTTTTTATATATATAAATAAAATAGGAATTTCATGAAGATGTAGAAAGAAGGATTACAGATGAAAAAGTGGTGGGGATGGTATTTGGATGTGTTGGGTTGAAGTATTTTGATTTCTAACTGATTTGTATTTCTAATTTACTGTTACTACTTTACTTTCTGTTTGTTGTATTTCTTTATTCTATTTCTCTTATCTATGGTCTTTGGTTACTGGAATTATTGTGCTGTTAAGAGTTGCCACATTTTTTGTGTTGAAGTTTTTAGCGTAAATAATGAGTGAGAAATGTGTCTTCTACTAGTTAGAGGATGGTGTGGATGGAAATTCATATTTTCTTATGGAATTACCTGGCCTTTTGTGCTTATTATTCTGCTACATTTTATCATTTTTACTTGTGTTGCTTAGTACTTTGCTTGATATGTAAAATCTTAATTCAAGATCAGATTGTTTTTACATAGTTCCCACTACTTTCAGGTAATATTTCTGCTAAAATATTCTGACTTAAAGCATGCTTTTATGAAGTGTAGGAGTGTAATGTTTGAAGTCTGGGGTGAGGGGTCTATTTGACAAAGATGAACACCATTCAAGTTGCTGCAAGCCAGCCTGGGATTTATGTCAAAAACATATCTCACTTGCACCATTTTCTTTCTAAACCATGTGTATTATCAATGGATGCCAAACCTCTCTCTTGGACTTCCTTGAGCCTTAGATCAGAACCTTCATCTGGCTTGCAAAATATGCCTAGTTTAAAATCTCGGCAACCTTTACATGTTTGTTTAGCCGGTGGACAAGGAATGATGGAAAATAATGAGGTAATACACCTTCATTTGAACTATACTATACGTTTTTCTTTTATCAATTGTTATATTATAGATGCTTCATTATACTCTAGATGCTGTATGAGAAAACTTCTTAAGATTTGTTCCCTTAAGCTATTGGTTGGCTTTTATCCAAACTTGTGCTGCCTCATCTTGGAATATTTCTACTGTAATGAATATTGTGCTGAGAAGCATCAGGAGCAGGTAGAGGTGTAAAGGGAGTTAGTCTTGAGACAAATTGTTTAGCCTTAATTTTTTGAAGGCTAATGTTACGATCCCACTCCAAGGTATGTGACTTGGAGTCCCACTTCGGAAACATAAGGTTCTGATGTGGGGTTTATATGGATTTTGGGCTCAGCTACCTCATGGGCTAGGTTTTGGGGTGAGGCTCTCCGAAGGTTCGTATCAATTGGTATCAGAGCCTTCCACTAAGTCTCCAGGTTGCAATCGAGCGGCATGGGTGGTGATGTTGGTATTGCAGTGTTCGCCCAGGGCTAGTAAAAAACTAGCGCAAAGCTAGCCCGCATGGGTGCTAGGGTTGCGGAGTATGGTAGAATGTTACGATAAACATAAGGTTTTGGTGTAGGGTTTATATGGACTTTGGGTTCTCCTATCTCATGGGCTGGCTTTTGGGGTGATGTTTTCCCAAGGTTCGTATCAGCTAAATTCTTAACCAGAGCCAAAACAGGTAGATTTACTAGAAGCAGCCCTATCTTCAAATAGCACTCAAGCCTATTTCTTGTCATTAACCTCTACAAAGCATGTTCTAGGGGATGTAAGTAGAGGAATCGGGGTAGCTTAGATGCTCTTAAAATATATTTGTAGTCCACATTTTGAATTGAATTTTTCTTAATTTTACTAACTACTAATAATGTAATTAGGATTCCCAGTGGAAATCTCTTGAGAAAGCTATGGAACAATTTAAGGGAAAGTCAATAGAGGACATGTTACGACAGCAAATTCAAAAGGGAGAGTACTATGACAATGGGGGAAGTGGGGCCAAGCCACCAGGAGGACAAGGTGGAGGTGGCGGTGGATCAGGGGATGGAGGCTTTGCTGGGATGTCGGATGAGACTCTCCAAGTCATTTTAGCAACAATTGGCTTTATATTTCTGGTACTCTCTCTCTTTCTTGTGTGTGCGCGCATGCGTGTGTTACATTGTATACATTAGTGCTTCCACCTCCACTTTTTTTTTATGTTGTGTGTGTGTGAAAAATGAAGGAAAAGGTTGAAGTGTTGTAGCTTAAGTTAACAATGGTAATAAATAACTGTGTGTGCTTGTGTGTACTTAATGGTAGATGACTGTAAATATAAATTGCATTAGATTAAACAACTGCTAACAGGAACTACTTGCTGAAGTCCTTGGAATGCATGAGTTTGTTGAGCTTGAAATATATTCATATGCAAATTCTTGATGATACAGTACTTATTACCTTAAGACATGATTCACAAGGTTGATAGGATGTATGTGCCATGTCTCATTTGATAACATCCTCTACATCTTTTCCAGTATATTTATGTCATCAATGGCGTGGAACTTGCAAAGCTAGCAAGGGACTTCATCAAGTACAAGCTTGGTGGAAATCAGAGTGTTAGATTAAAGCGTGCCATGTACAAATGGACACGATTTTACAAGAATATGACAGAGAAGAAGGAAGTTGACAAGAATGAGTTGGAGAATGCCCCAAACAACACCAATTACTATAGAGATGTCCTTAGGAACTACATGAAATCAAATTCAAATGAATAATTTTTCTTTACTTTTATAAGTTTTCAATTGCTCCCTTATGGTTAATGGAGCTAGGATTGCTGTTACAATAAATTAATATAAACTATGATGATTTTTTTTTCTTTTGGATTTAAGGAGCACATTCAGTATCAATCTTCTGTTGGTGTTATAAATTAGCCATCTGACTAACAACACAGGTTATTGTTATATGAATTGATGCAACAGTAGCACAATTATTTGGAATGTAAACAATGTTTTAAATTTTTCAGTGTTTTAAATTAAGATATTTTGACCTGCTGACAGTGGTTCAAAATTTATTGGGATTAATATTTTTTATGTTGTAGGAGATAATTTTATTTCCTACACATATATAAAAGTGTATGGGTTTATGTGTGTGTAGGAGATAAAATTATCTCTTACAAGAGAAATATTAATCCCAAATTTATTATCAAAATATAATTCATCAAACGTGTTTGTTTTTTTTATATATTTTTATCTTGTCAAATTAGATTTTTGATTATGTTATTGTAATTATTCTTTTGAGGATGTGATAATTATTCAACTTTCGCTTTAAAGGTTTACTTAAGATTGAAATTCTGCCATTTGTTGTGGGGTAGTCCGCGTATTATTGGGATTTATATTGGCATTTAGGGAATTTATTGATCCAATTCGATTTAAATTGTGGTGATCGAATTAAAAAATTGATGATTGAATTAATCGATAAATGAATTTTTTTTGCATATTTTAATTGGATTTGATCGATTTTTAATTTGGAGGGTGAAAATTGATTTAATTTAAACTGATCCAATGTATTATATATTTATTATTTTTAAAAGATGGTGATTTGAAATTTCGGATGTTATTAATAACAAATTATCTTATTTTGGTTTTTTATTATCTATTAATTTATTTTAATTCTTCATAAATTTTAAGACTTGTTTTAGTTTTCAAGAATTGAATTTTTCAATGGTTTGTAATTTTAAATTACTTTATTTTGATATAGCTAGTAATTTATATGACTGAAATTTTTTAGACTTTTTGAAAAATCATGAATCAATTCAATCCAAATCGAATAAAATTGAATTATATTAGATCAGATTTTAAAAAAAATTCAAAGTGAATATATGATTAAATGATCAAACCAAATGAATTAGATCAAGTGATTTTTGCTTTTGAAATCGATTCAATTTAGATTGCAAACACCTCTATTGGCACTTACCCAACTTTCGTGGTTTGAAATGATTTTTTTAAAACAATATAAAAATATAATCGAACATGCCTTAAATCTACCAAGACTATTTTATTATTGATTCAAATGCAGTATTGAATGTCTGGTATGAATTTCAATAATATTTATCGTTTTTCTTTGGTGATTAATTTTCTAAAACTTTAACTTAATAGGTGAAAGTAGAAAAACGAGATTCTATATCTGAATATGAAATCATATTTTATGAGACAAAATTGTTTCGTACATATATAAAGAAATAAATGAAATATACCCAATGGGTGCAGCTCAGTTGGTAATTTGGCGCTGAGTTAGTGGGGTTGGATACGTGTTCGATTCCCGCTGAATGCATTCTTGGGGAGGGGGCTGAACCTTTAGCCATCACTGTTCTCCCGCACTCCGGATTAGTCTCATAGCCGGCTCAAAGAGTCGAAGCTCGTGCGGATACCGGAGGGAGCCAACTCGTCTCAAAGAGATAATTAGGGTTGGGTAACTCCAAAAAAAAAAAATAAATAAATAAATGAAATATTTTTTTCTCTCTTCTTCTCAATAAATTTCGCTTTTTTTTATGTGTGTGTAAATACGGAATAATTTATCTTATACAACATAACAAATATGTTTCCATGTTTAAAACATTCAAAGGATACACGAGTTACTTTTAGGTTTTAGCATAGATAATGAACGAATTACACTTTACTTTAAAATGTATTTAACTTTACTTTACTTTAAAATGTTTCTATATAAAGGCTTTGTTGCATGTCCAGGTCCAGTGATAACTATTGTAAAAGGTTAGGTCGAGTAGTGTCTTACATCTCTAATATTTTCCAATGAAATACGATAACCTTCAAATTCTTTTCCTTTTGATCTAACAGTGTTAAAAAAGGAGTAGCATATAAAAAAGTACGCATAATACCTATTCATTTGTTTAAAAATAATTGTTTTATGAAAAATAAATATTCATGGATATCTCCAAATCAGGGCATGTCTTTTTTCTCGAAGGAAAGATTAGACTCATCTTTTCTGTGATAGCGAAACTCAATGCACTCGTTGATAACTTTCGGACCATACTCGGAGAATAAAGTAATCGGAGAAAGTTGAAAGAGAATATCCTCCAAATTATACCAAAAAAATAAGAAGCAGCATTGCATTGCAAGCCGGTTAACGACCAGTTGAGTTGACGGGGTTATAAATTTTTGTTACCTAAATGTATAAATTCTAAATTCTGAAAAGATTTTATTTTTGACTCTTGCTTTCTAAATTTCAATAAAACAATGATGTCTTAAATAATAAAAATTATTATTACATTGTATTTTTCTTTACGTGGATTAAGCACCTTAATAGAATTGAATAACACAATAAACCAGCCAAAAATATACCTATCAAATTAATAATTGAGAAGTTTATATTGATCACAACTTTCACAATTGAAAACACAGCTATACCTAGCTAATAACAATAATGTGTCTGGTTCATGCAAAGTTCAAGAAATTAAGGATAATTTTTCAAGTAAAATTTTAACATGCCCTATGATGTCAGAGAACATCCAAGATTGGCAAATTCCATCAATAAGGTCTTAGTATACATCTTATTAAATTCAATCTAAAACGAATACAAAATAAAAATCAATATATAAAAATAAGTCAATATGGCTTTAATGTTTCTAAAGTGAAAGTAGATAAGTTTTCTACATTTGCTCTCAAAACGACGTAGTTCTGGATTGAAAAATTAAAAAATTATAATAAAAAGACTATTATAACTTTGAAATAAATTATAATTACAAAAATACCTTAATTTTCGCCTCAAAACGACGTCGTTTTGGCTAAATGTAAATAAATTATTTACATTGACTATAGAAAAAGTGAACCCTATCAAAGTACACATGAGTTTATTTCTCAAGCTTAGACTGAAATTACAACTTAGACTTAAAATGGATACATTTTATTTCTATGTTCTCCTATTTTGATATGTCAAACAAGTATCAAATCAATTTTCATCCTAAATTTTCTAGTTTGGCACTTTCCACCTACTGAATTCAGTAGTATAGTTCCTATTTCATATCCTTCCCTTCTCTAATAAGAGTCCTTCAACCTACACGTCTTAGCAACAATAAGGTTCTCCTGGCATAAAACAAATCTAGAAAACATTCAATTGAATACAAAATGTTATGCTATATTTTGTATTTATTTAATTTAATAAAACATATATAAAATTTCAGAGATAGACAAACAAAACTAAAGGATGTTTTACTATTTATATTTTCAAATAAAATATACTTTTAATACCCTGAAAATTTTAATATAATTTATAGGCACTGCAAACCAGTTTTCAGGTATTAAATTTATCAAGTTCTCACACATCCCAATCCTTCAAATTAGATGTCCTCCCCTTCATATAACAAAGACTTTATGAAACTAAAAAGAACAAAAATGATCAAATGATGGTAGCTCGGTTAGCGTATGGGAGCTAAGCAGGTAGGGATGAGAGCATATATTCGATCCTCCCTAGTACCATCTTTGAAAGGGGTTTAAAACCTTAATCCTGAACCCACCCCAAACAAGATTGTCTCCAGTGAAGGATACCTGTGATTTATTCGGAAAAAAAGAGCAAAAATGATATTCGCGATCAAAGACTTCATAGAATTCAAAGGGGGTATATGACAAATAACAACACAAATGACACTTAGAATTAATAGTTTATACAAATTTGAAGGGGGACAACCACTCTGTAGGAACTATTGGAATTATACGAAAGCGATTTAAGACCTAGTACATTGGTATGCTTACTGAATCATCATAGTCTCACTAACACACAAGTCATACATCTTTAAGCGTAGATCTATAAGCGACCTCCTTGTCCTTCACGAACTGATCTTGTCTGCGTCACAGTACAAACAATCTCCTTGTAACTGGTTGGCAGTAGACCTTCCAGACTATCTCTCAAGGGGAAAGATGACAATGTGTGGGCACTCTCTCACTTTCAGGGAGATGACCTTACCTCAGCCTCTGCTACCACAAAGTGAAGACTCTTGAAAAGCTGATGACTATAAGTGTAGAATATATATGGGTTCCAAGAAACTCTAACCCTAAGCTGAATATGCTCTAGGGTTCTTGGCCTCTTCTTACACACTAAGCCCAATTGGGTTTTAGTGAAAGGGAAACACTCAATAATCTCTTAATTGCTCTTGAGTACAAACTTGAGCCCAAATCCTAAGATCATGTAACTCACTAGTCGTCATCAACTAAAAATGTCTCATCCTTTATCTTGAGCTAGCCTGAGGATCTACTAGCTGTTATTAATCAAGGCTCCTGATAATCAACAAATGATTATCTAATTCGGTGTTATTCCACTAAAAGCCCGAGCTTGAACTCTAAGATTAATAACACATATAGCATGAATATGCATCGCCCCTTTGTAGAATGTCAATAATTGACTGATAAGATTTATGTTACTCAATCAATTATTTATTCCATTGACTGTGATAGTTTCTCTAATGGATTACATGCACTGGCCAATGTTTTCAATATCCAAGTACTGAAACATATCAAGGGGATATATCCTACAAACTCTATGTTGTTTATCTTATAAATATTGATAAGTAAATAATCTCACTCCCAAAATACCGAGTTATTGGCTATCAAAAGATCAAACCCCACCTATTGGTAAATCAAAGAATGAAAAGTATTCAATTACCTATTTATAATAAGTTCAGGATTAAGAGCAATTACATAACTATAGTAAACTGGAGATTTGATACCTTATGACAGAAAAAATAATCTTAATCAAATCTCTCCTTGATCCATTCAATATGAATGTTAATTCACACCAATATTTTACAATGATTCGGACAAAACCATTTCATAAAATATTGCAGCCTAAATGAAGCACCCAACTTTATTTAACAGTTGTAAACCAATTCATCAATCGTGAA